CCAGTTTAGAGGTGTCGCGGCTGCATTCAAACAAGGTGGATCACCTGTAGAATCCACCAGAATGACTACTAGCATGTGGTGGAACTTTAATTTAGGTCCCCAACGAGGCACGCCAAAATCCCATCCTTGTGTAATACGGGACCGGGGTAATAAAGACTATGCAGTTGGGGCATTACACAGGAAGGAAAATGTAAATAAAAAGTAGAGCGTATAGAAATAGAAAAAAAGGGAATAAGTATTCAAAAATCTAAGGCTTGGCAACAAAACTAACCAACTAACAAGTAAACTGAAAAGAAATCTGAAGCTAAAATAAAACTGAATAATAAACAGAAAAATAAACCATAAGTAAATTGATTGCATTCCTTGTTTATTTATGGCGCGCTTTTTTGTCTCTAAGCATTAGATCATTCAAACAATCTTGGGCGCCTAAATTAAACTTCTATCTAGCACGTCAAGGAGCCTATATACAAGTAAACAGGTACCTTTTCAGCTGTTGAATCGGCCTCCAACTCATATAGAGTGACTACATGAAAGACCTTAACGGCGCCCAACGGCAAGTCCCACGCGACTGCCAGACTGTACGCCGCCAGTGCCAGTTGAGACAGCGAACTCTCCACGACCTCCTGCAGTTGATCCCCGTTGTCTACCAGCGCAGAAGAAAGCTCGCCCACCTCAGAGCGCCACTGCTGGACAGACAGAGAGCGTAGGAACCAGTCCACGAACATACGCCGGGTGTGCTGCCGATCAGAGCGGTTTCCAGCAGAGGGAGACGCAGGGGCATTGCACCAAGAGGGCAAAGTCACGCGATGGCAGGAAGCCAATTGCTAAGAGTAAACAAAGTGCCCACGTGTAAAATATGCATGCAAAGACGTACAAAAAGGCGAAAAAAGGTAATGACAGCAACGGACTCTGGCTTACTGTCGAGGGGATCAGGGCAGAGGGTACCAATCTGCCGGCGGCAGTGGTGCCAGAGGGGAGTCCGAAGGAGAGGAGGGCTAAGTTCAGAATATGTACTTGGAGGAGAGTGTCCAGCGTGGCAAAG